TTCTCCTCACAAGTGGAGGAAGTATCTGGCTAGGCATTGGAGCATTTGGGCGAGTGAGAGTACCCAAATACTCGGCATACTAGTATCGGTACCAGTGCATCCCTATTGTGTACTATTTTTGGAGGGCTGCTGCAAAGTATAAAAATCTTACTGGGCAGCATGACTTCTCATACCCATAGCGCCAAGCTTCTGGGGAGTGAGGGAATCGACTGAAGTAGCGAAGTGCTCTGGCTGTATCACCGACCTTCCTCACTTCATTGCCCATTCGCTTACTGCCTTGTATTTTCTTAAAGGAATACAAAGCATTCTGTGATTGGAGGAGGGGGCAGGGATGGGGCATCATACAGCTTTTTTAATACTTAACACACCCAGTGCAGTCCATAACCATAAATGTTTACATGAGTACGCACGCCCCAGTGTGTGCTAAACACAGAAGTGTGGATTAGATTCTTAAACTTCACGGAGGCGTATTTGCTGTAAAATTCTACCATCTCTCATGCCCTTTCAGTACAATCGTAAGAGCTGTTTAAATGCCTATCAAGAAGCTGGAGATAAGCAAATTAATATTGGCAAGAACGGACTCTTATGTAAATGAATATGATGGTACTAAAAGTATCCTCATTCTGTGAACCTATGGCATCCCTGCACTTAGTTGCTGCTTTTTACTTGTTGACCAGCTCAAATATCACCATCCTTTCACAACAACCCTAAGCAGGCCCCACATAATCAGGTCTGTGTTACAGATGCTCTTGTAAGAAATATTGTCGCTTGATTGAGTCAGGATGCTCTGGGAGGTTCTCATAACCCTGCTTTGTCTGGTCGGTTCAGACTCCATTGACATGATAATGAACAGAGCAGTGCCCATAACGAGTGGGGCTGTCCTGGCACCTCTCGGCTCCCTATCTTGCTTTGCCCTGAAATTCAGTGTGCTCTGACAGGCCAGCTGCTTAAAAAAATTCCCAAATGGTTGCCACGGTAAATAAGGAGCAGAGAGGGGGCCACTATTACATTAGTATACATCTAACATATGGGTGGTGTATTTGTATATACATTTGGCAAAATGTGTTATGGCTGGAACATGAAATCTGTATTACTTAAGGAACATGGATACCCAGTGGTTCTTACTCGAAGTGTTTAATATTGTCTGCTGCTAAAACATTCATTGTAATTGTGTTTTTGCTGCTAATCAGGCTACAGAGCTGTGTGTGTGCAAGCATTAAAGGATCTAGGCATTTGTGTATAAAGTGGATGTTCTTGCAAGCAATAAATAAGCTACATTATCACATGCAGCGTGTGTGAACTGGCAAATGAAATGGTGTTCCATGTTTTCATTAGAGAAGGGATTTTTTTTTTTCCTTCATGGAATTGTTAATGTTTGTCACTTTTTTTTTTCTTTTCTGATTGTAACACCTTATTCACAAAGCTTTTTGCACTGCATTGAAGGGCAAGAATTAGGTGTTGAGATTGCTTTAGCTAGTGTCACTTGGTTCCATCTGTTGTCCTTTTAACAAGCAGTGCAGGTAATTTGGTGCTGAGAAGAGGTATCTGATTTTTATCCCTTATTGATAATGACTAATTTTGGTAATTTACCCTGTAGAATGGGGTGGCAACTCGGTCCATTTTGGCTCAATCTTTTCCCACGACTTGATCCGATTATGTCCTCTAATCGCAGAGTCTCTTGCCTTGAACAGGGATTTCACAGCTCCGACAGTTGTGTGGGGCACACTCAAGGCATTTTTATGTGGGTTACTCATTAAAGAGATTTCCCACATTAAGACAAACACTCGGAAAACCATAACCCAGCCACCCAAGCTAAATGGTTAGTCTTCCAACATTTGCTTAAAACCACATCTTTGAAAGTTGAGCAGCAGGCTTCCTTACCCAGCTTGCTTAGTTTAGACCTGATTCACACCTAGGCAGTGTTTTTGCACATAAAACATGTGCTGCTTGCTGCACGTTTTCATGCATTTTTGCGTGTACAAGCATAAATTAAGTGTGGTTTTAGAAGCAGATTGTGACACATTGAAGTAAATGTACAAAACATGCATAAACAAGCAAAACTCTGTACAGATGAACAAATTGGCAAATATAAGTGATCTATCACATCACACCTGTTAAATGCGGCCAAGTCTCTTATACCAGCTCGATAGAGAGACTGATCTCCACCCTCAGCGGAGTGGTTTGACCAAATTTTGTCAACTAGAGGAATTGACTTATTCTACTAATTTGAGAGATCGCTTTTATAAAATATGGGCTAGTTGGCTCGCCTATACAACTGGTCCTCTTTTTTTGAATGTACTGAGTTAGCGGAGCACAGAAGAGGTAGCCTACAAGTATTATGCTGTTCCTGTTTGCCTTTAGTCTCCATTTCTTGGTGCTCAGATCTTCTTGAGTGCAGGATGGCCACTAGCGGGGCCGACTAGCAAGATTCTATAGCTTGGCCCAGTGAGAGAATCCTCCATCCACACAGTTAAGCGTAGATGGAGGAATCTGTGGCACTTTTTCCATCTGACCATAGAAAATCTGCAGATAATCTATAGGTGAATGGCCAGCTGTAGACAAACTATGCCCATCAAGACCTTTTAACATCTCTTCTCTACGTCTCTTCATCAACTTACTACCCATACGTTACATGCCTCCTATAAAACTTAGGCAGAGTTTACAGAGGTCATGAATATACTACCCACTAATAAAGTTCTTGGTAGTGATTGTCTACCTGCCTAGGTATATAAAACATATCACAAGCTACTATTCCCAACACTACTAGACATTTTACAATGCATTTGACACTGGACAGCTCCCCCTCCATGTATGGAATCACCTAAATTGTGATTTCTAAGCCAGATAAAGATGCTACCATATCATACTCTTGTAGACCATATCTTTATTCTGTACCCATACTACACAGGGGAGAGTGCAGAAACTGCACATTTACAGCCTTGGGGAAAGGGGGGGGGGGGCATAATTGAAGCCTTTTAACCCCTTCGTGACTGACGACGTACAGTGTACGTCGCCAGCATCGGGGCTGTTTAAACAGACTCCGCCGGGACTCTGTTTAAACTTGTAAAGCCGACTGTCGGCTTTACAACAGAAGCGATTCTGGTGACTTACCTGTCGCCAGATCGCTTCTTGCCTCGATGAAGGGGTCGCACCCCCGCCGTGCTTTCCGGGCTCCGTTGCCCCTCCTACGGGCCCGGGACCGGCTTCCTTGGTGTCCGCTGGGAGCTGGGGAGGAGATCGACGAACTTCCGTTCATCGATCCCCTCCCCGTTCTATGGGACCGGGAGCGATGCAGATTGCATCACTTCCGGTCCCTGGGCTGTCAGTTCTGGGCTCCTGCATCCCAGCTATAAGCTATTGAAGTGCGATCTGCACTTCAATAGCTCATTTCTAGTGTAAAGGTGACACTGGGGGTCTTTTGGACCCCCAGCATCACCTTAAAGAGTACCTGTCACCACCATCTGCTATCACATGGGGGGGAGGGGGGGCTTGTAAGCCTCCCTATGTGATGGCAGTCAAAGTACAGTAAAAAAAAAAAGTAGGGTGCGCCTACGTATGAAAATGACGAACGCGCTACACATGTTGGGTATCGCCGCGCACGCCGGAGTGAGAGCAATAATTCTAGGGCCAGTATTTTGGGGTATCTCTAAATTGATGAAGCGTCTTCTATGGACTTTTTGGGGTACTGGGGTTTTTCGCCGTTTTACGGATGCACGCAATTTGTAACCTGGGCATGTTGGGTATCGTTTTACTCGTTGTAACCTCATCTTTTATATTTCATAAAAAAAATTGGGATTTTGTTGTGTTTTGGGGCATTTAATTAAATTTGTCACTAAATTTTGGGGTTTAATAAGGAGTTGCGCTAATATTGCGCAACATAAAAATTTGCAACTACCGCCATTTTATTCTATAGGGTCTTGGCATTCAGAAAATATATAATGTTGGGGGGTTTTAAGTCATTTTCAGGCCTAAAACGTGGAATATAACATGGGTGCAAAAAATGAAAGAAAAAAAAAGGCCTCAGTCATGAAGGGGTTAAATTAAAGGAGTGAACAGGATTGTGGATCGCAGGTGATGAACCCAAGGACATGACCTCGAACTAGCAGGAGGAAAGCTCAAAACTAAAGGTGGCCATACACTTTACAACCATCGCAAGACCTTAGTCTTGCGATGTTTGTAAAGTAATTTAAAAAAACGTGCAATCTGCCCATCTTGGACAGGCAGATCGTACTTGTGATCATCGCAAGCCCGCCCCCTGAGAGGCGGGCTTCCGATGACTGCAACGGGCAGTGTGCGCGTGCGCATACCGGCCAGTGCGGCATTGATCTTACGATCATGCTAAAAACCAGCCGAAAATCGTACGATTCTCGGCTGGTTTTCTAGCATGCTCCTAAGACAAAAGACGTGCGACCGTACAGTAAAGACGGTCGCACGCCTTCCATACACTTTACGATTATCGTACAATCGCGGGATTTCCCGCGATTATCGTGCGATAATCGCACAGTGTATGGGCACCTTAACCTTAAAGTATTTTTACTAGAGTAGTTGATGCTTGCAACAGACTGCCAGCAGAGGTAGTGCGTTAACAGTTAAGAGTGATTTTAAACATGCTGAGGACAAACACAGCTCTATACTGGCTATGCAAAAAGACTAAATAAAAAAAAAACAACAAACAGGCAGACTAGATGCACCACCTGAACTTTTTCTGCCGTCACTCTGTTTCAGTATTTAAAATGAGACATAAGAGAAAATATATAATACACACACCCCTTTCAAAAAAAATCAGATGATGCTGATCTTGTAACAACTGGACCATTAATATTCACAGCACATAAGATACCACTCATCATAATTAATGTTAAGCCGGTTTACTTACTATTATTGGTTTTCACTTTTTGCATATTTGATTGTTGTGCATTGCTTCTTACATATATGAAGGATCTTTAGAAGTTGCTTACATGGTATGGCATGTTGTGTAATCTATAGCTTTCTCTTTCCAGTGGATGAAGTTGTGGCATTCCCTGTGTTAGTGATCGACCAGAGTAAAATAGTAGACACCAATGGAGCTGGAGATGCGTTTGTTGGGGGTAAGTACTGTGTTTGGCAATGGTGGTATAGTAAACATAGGGAACCGATCCACTGCTGAGGTTGCAATGCTTTACAGGCTCCAATGCAGAAAAATATTTTTTCTTTGAATAAGTGTGCTTTTTTTTTTTCCCTCCAAAAAGGTGGAATTTCCCTTTTTTAAATTGAGCATTCAATTTAGGTAATTTTTTTATTTTTTGATTCATCGGGGGTCTAGATCTGTTTAGTGGCTATCAAATCCAGTTCAGCTTTGCAGCAGCAGATTACTTCTTATAGTTTGGCTCTTCATAGCAAGATTTAGGCCTTGATTCACACAGCTAAGTGTCGGCCCGCACAGATCCGTGCGGCCGTTCACGGGAAGGACAGGTGCTGCGTGGGATTGTACGCAGCAGCCTGTTCTTCCCTATGGGAGGACGCGGCCGTATGCTGCTGTACGTTCACCCAAACTGCACATCCGTGTGGGTGTCATGCTCTGACGCAGACAGGATCCATCCTGTCTGTGTACGGGCACCCTCAAGTATGTGCAGCTCGGGTTAACGTACGGCCGTGTACCCCCCGTAGGGAAGAACAGGCTGCTGCGTACAATCCCACGCAGCACCTGTCCTTAATGGGAATGACCCGATATAGCCGTGCACGTCGCACAGATCTGTACGAGCCGACATTTAGCTGTGTGAAATGAGGCTTTATGAATTGTTCTGTAGCAGGAGCGCATAGATTCAGTTCCTGGATTTAGCGCTGGACTGTGGCTGTCCTTGGCAGACGTTGGTTCCAACTCTGTGCGCAGCTCGCTGTGGTGCAAACCTGATTTGAGGTCTGGAGCACAGCAGGCTACATGTTGGGCATCAGGCGTGTATGGCATTGTGATCTTATGCCACTGGTGTCTAAATTAAATCCTGCATCTACAATGGCATCTTACACACTTAGTTGCATACCCCATACCCACGGTTCATATATTATTCCTTTGCATTCTAGGGATTCCTGCTGCTAATCTTCCTGAATGTTTTGAATACTGTGCCTTTTGTTGCAATAATCTCTTGCCATTAACTTGCTAAACTACTTACCAACCAACACATGAGCAAATCACCTGCCAGCATGCAACCTCTCTGCTGGGAGCTAAATTACAGAGGATACAAGTGCATGAAATGTAGTATTCAGTCTCATGTGTAACTTTAAATTTCATGCATCAGCACAGTTTTAATAGTATGAAAATGTTCAGTCCTAACACTTGAATAGGAAATGCAAGCAATGAAGCTTTTAAGGACTTTTCCAGGCTCAGATTAATCATTTTATAATGTTATGCAGTGTGGTGCTTATGTAATGGTAGCTTTGCTGTATCTTTGTTTGCAAATATAATTATATGAGAATTGAACAAGCTGGTAAACAGGCTGTCATTAACTTCTTTTTATATAGAGATATGTATAATTGTGCTGCAAGAAATTAATATACATATTTTATTCTGGTCTTCTGCTAGTGTTTACATATCATTTTATGTTTTATGATAATCAAGGTGATTTGGTAGCAACACACAACCCCAAGCCTGTCAGGACACACAATTTTGAAGTAGACCTAAAGGTGCCCATACACCTTACGATTATCATACGATAATCGTATGCAATTGACATTTCGTACGACAATCGCAAGGTGTATAGGGAGTGTGCAACCGCCAGTACTGTGCAAGCGTACGACTTTTGTCTTTCCTGCATGTTCGAAAACTTCAGTCGATCGTACAATTTTGCAAGGTTGGTGGCGTCTCCATATGTCAAAAGTCGTGCGATTAACATTGCTCATGCGCAAACGAGAACACGTGCGGTCGATTACCGCAATTCATCCAGGGGTTTTCTTTAACTACCGCTGATTGAACCTTGCGATAATTGTGGCAGGATGGAGCCGCCGTACGAAAATCGTACGACGGTTTGATCATCGGGCAAAAAGTTTCGTCCGATGATCGCAAGGTGGATGGGCAGCTTTAGAGTCCCTTTCATATGGGTTGATCAGGAGGGAATCCATGCACAGATCCCCTCCTGATCAGAGTGTTGTGGATCGGATATCACCACTGCGTCCATAAAGTTTTTTTCCTCCACCTTGTGATAGAGGAAACAACTAAAACTACCGGATGGAAAAAGACATGTGTATGTTCACATAAGATTACCCCTGATCCGGCACGATCAGGTCCAGCGAAACGCATCTCTGTTCTGTTTGTTTTTCTAGACCTGTCCAGATTTGGGGGTAACCAGGTGTAAATGGACGGGTGTCAGTTTACACACGACTGCCAATAGACTAACATTGGACATCTGATCGGGTCCACTTGAAAGACGGACTTGATCGGACCGCACATTTGAAAGTGCTAGTGTTGATGGAGCGCTGACCAAGTGTCCTTCACTAGTGGTTACATTTTAATTATTTTGCTACTCCCAAATGTATTAGGGTGCTGGAGCCCAGGGTAGAGTATGCAGTAGTGTGCTTTGTGTTTTTACTAACTTAATTTAAAGGTCTTGTTTGAATGAAAGGGAATGTATAGTGTTTTATACATATTATTTATTATAGACCGAACTAAAATATGCTGTTTAACCTGGCATTTTTAAACGTCCGCTCAGCCACGCCCACTTGTGCCTGCCAGTGGGTAACTGCCTAAATTTAAAAACAGGCAGCGATGCCTGTTAACATACAAGCGATCCGCCGGCTCCATAGCTTGTATAAGATACCGGTCCGTGTGTGTCTCCCCCCTTTCCGTGGTCCGCTGGTCCTGGGCTCCGCTGTGCCTGGTACGAGCCCGGGACCAGTATAGTGGCTCTGTGAAAGGGGATCAGAGGGAGATCGGTACACGATCTCCCTCCGGTCCCCTCTCCGTGTCAGAATGCAGAACTGATGTATATTACATCACTTCCGCATTCTTGTGTCACTCTCCAGCCTCACTGTCGCTCTGATGAAGGATCACTGTGCGGACCTGAAACGTTAGCACCGTATGACAGTATGTGACATTGGGTATTGAATAAACATATCAATACTTTAAAAACCCTTCAAGTGTGTGCCGGTGAATTACTTTTATTTACTATTAGTGTTTTGCACGGCGCCATCCGCGTGGTCACCTGGGCACCACATATACCTTGTGGTTTTGAGACCGTGGCAGTGCGAATGGGATTTGGACTTTACTCTCCAGCTTCAGACGCTGGGATAATCTGATGAAGCAGATCTTTGCTTCATCTGCTACTTTGGGGGGTACTAGGTGACATTAGGGGTCCTAATGTCTCCATAAAGAGGACTTGTCACATCCTCTTTGCTATCACATAGGGGGTTTCTTAACCCCTATGTGACAGCAATAAAGTTAAGTGAAAAGAGAAATTTTTGATTTTACCAGAAAATTGGGTAATAATAATTGTTTCCTAACATAATGGGGAAAAAACTTTTTTCAAAATTTTCAGTAATTTTTCCTTGATATAGCAAAAAATTGAAATCCCAGTGGTGATTAAATACCATCAAAAGAAAGCTCTATCTGTCCCCAAAATTATTTATAAAATTCATTTCAGTACAGCGTTGCATGATGGAATAAACATCAGTCAAAAGAACCTTAGCACTGAATACTGAAAAATGGCCTGGCCAGGAAGGGGGTGTAAACACCTGGTCAGCAAGTGGTTAAATATTAGCTGCTGCCTATGGAATATTTTGGATTTTTATATGCAGCCAGGAGGTGGCACTTTAGGCTCCAGTTGCATATTTTATGTTTCTGCTTACCCACTGTTGTAAAAAAGCTGGTTTACATAACTCAGTAGCTCAGTGTGAATTTTTAGACACATAGGTGAATGAGTCATAACCGTGACTCCTCCTCTTCCTGTACAGCTCTGCGTTAGTCTAAAGTGCTCTGGGAATGTCCTCTATTAAATGTTTGTAAACAGATGTGGTATAACACTGTAAGAAAACAGATTGACATTATTTGTTTAAAAGCTTATTAATTTAAAAGGAAATAAAATGTATCCCAAACAAAGACTTTAACTCCAGCAATATGACCAAATATAAAATGCTCCTTGTCATGAGAGCAATAATTAACCCCTTGCCGTCCGCCCATTGTAAAAACACGGGCGGACGGCAGATGCTTCTCAGCGGGTGGACGTACATGTAAGTGATTTTATTTTTGTACATTTTTTTTCTGCTCGTGCTCTCTGTACTGAGAAGGAGAGATCAGCATTCTCCCACCGCTGATCTCTCCTCCTCTCTCAAGACTGAAGCGATGTGTATTACATCACTAAAGCAAAACAAACGAGAAACGCACTCAATTTGTTACCAGTTATACAGTAAGGTGCACACGAAATGGGCTTTGAACAGTAGAACAGTAGAAAGGCATCATGGCACACTCACTAGTGAGTGTGCCGTGTATTACATCACTTCCGCCTTTTGCTGCCATTTCTCTGGCTTCTATAGCCAGAGGAGAAGTTGGTGAAGCAAATCTCTTGATTCATCAGCTTCTTTGGGGGTCCCTAGTAGACATTAGGGGTCTTAGAGACCCTTGATGTCTCCATTGTATATTGGCTATCACATGGGGAGCTTTTTAGCCCCCTATGTGAGAGCAATCAAGATAAGTGTAAAAGAAAAAAGAATTAGTGTCACATTACAAAAAAAATTCAAGTCCCCTGTGTGTACGAACTTATGAATGTAAATATGCATCGGGTGCGCCTATGTGCAAAAACGATTACGCCACACATGTTGCATATCGCCGCGAACATCAGACTGCGAGCAATAATTGTAGGGCCATTAATCACTGATAACACTAAACTGATAAGAGATAAAAAGCTTTTAAAGTGTCGCCTATAACTAATTTTAGACATGGTAATTTTTTGTGATTTTGCGGGCGCACGCAATTTTAAAGCTTGGTGTCTATTTACCCGACGTAGACAAAAAGGAAGACGTCACCAGCACTCCAACGATAATAACAGCAATTAGGTGCTCATTTATTGACCGATGCTCTCTCTCATTGGCAAGCGCTTTCGGGGCCACACAGGGTCCCCTTCGTCAGGCTCAGAGATGACGGTGCAGAGATAACATATAGTAATTTTATATAGACATACCAATCAGTGAGTGAAAAACATGACACACCCATACCCATGGACCTACTAAAAAAAAAATGGCCCGCACAGGAAGGGGGTTTTAAGGTGGCCATACACTCTACAACCATCGCAAGACTTTAGGCTTGCGATGGTTGTAAAGGGATTAAAAAAACGTACGATCTGCCTATCTTGGACAGGCAGATCGCACTCTCGATCATCACAAGCCCGCCCCCCTGAGGGGCGGGCTTCCGATGACCGCAATGCTGAACGGGCAGTGTGCGCGTGCGCACACCGGCCCGTTCAGCATTTATCTTCCGAGCACCGTAATAACCAGCCGAGAATCGTACGATTCCCGGCTGGTTTTTGAACATGCTGGTTCGACAGAAGACGTGCGACCGTACAGTAGAAACGGTCGCACGTCTCCGTTCACACTGCTCGATTATCGTACGAAAAACCGATCGCATACGATTATCGTACGATAATCGTGCAGTGTATGGGCACCTTAACACCCTGATCCGCAAGTGGTTAATGTGGAACTGAAGCCAAAATGTTTTTTTTAGTTTTGAATAGAGTAAGGAAGGGTTACAACCCCTGGCTGCTTTCGTTTCTTGCCATCTTTTTCATGAGGGGAAGGAAGTGAGGAAATCCCTGGTGATCTGCAGATTAACCAAAACTAGTGATCCCATTGAAAGATTCCCCACCTTTCCAGTTCTGATTACAACCCAAAATGTGGGATTTCTTTCACTGTAATTGATGACAATCACCAGGAGAAATACTGGGGGTGAACCTGCTTAACTGAAACACAGATCGCAATTAAAACCTGACTGGTGTTTAATCTCACTCCACTCTAGCCAAAATAAAAATAGAAAAGCCTTTTGGCTTCAGTTGCACTTTAAACTTGCAGCAGAGAACTTGGAATGTGCAACTGTTCTTATTTATATTGCCCAATGTCAGGCAGACAAAGTAGTCATAGTTATCCTTAAGACCCCGTTCACATATAGCAACATACCTTTGCAGCGGCCGGGATAGCGCGACTTTCGGGGCGACGTTCCAGCGATGATCCAGCGACGGTAGCGCAACCTTCTCCGTCGGGCTCCATAGAAAAAAAGCAAAATCGCGCAAAATCAGCCGAAAAAAGGGTCCGGTAGAAGCGACTTGCGACGCGCGACATGGAGTTAAGACAGCTCCATTGAATAGCATTGGCCGGTGACTTCTCGCGATATCGCGCGGCAAAAATGCGCGATATCGCGGCGGAAATCGCGCGACAATTCGCTATATGTGAACGGGGCCTAAAGGAGAACTGAGGTGAGTGATTTCCACTCATCCTCATAGTTAGAGCCGACCTGTGACAAAGAAGCTGTCACAGGTCGGGTCTATTGATCGGGAAGTGAGCAGAAACATGCAGCCGATCCGCTCACTTCCTGATCGGCTCCCTGCAGTGAGCGATGACTGTTAGTCACCGCTCCCTGCAGGGTTTCCCCCCCTCCCCCGACGATCCTCCAGCGCTGAGTGGAGGAACAGGCGTGCAGTTGGCGGGCACAGCTGGCTCTGCCTCTAGATAGTATTGTCGGGATCCATCCTGGCTGCGGAGCTCTCGGCATATAGCAGGCAATGGCACGCAATATACTGAGCTTTGGGTCATGGGAGGAGGTTAGTATATGTCCTCCCGTAACCCTAAAGAGAACTATGGGGAGAAACACTTACCCCATAGTTATCTTTTAAGTCGTACTGAGGCAACTAAACCTGGTCTGGGCATTTGTGTTTCAAAAAAAAAGTTGCAATAGTCTTATTTTCAAAACTTTATAGTTTGAAGGTTCATGTGGTTTAAATCTGAACAACAGAACAGTAGTTGCCATAGCAAGACTGAGAACAAGCTTCACAGAATAGATTGGAGGCTGCCAATGTCATCTTGTTCATCCTGTATTTATATTACTTCACTGCCTGACTATTGTCATAGAGGACGGGGAATTCCACATTGGACCCCAGCTCCATGTGAGCTGCTTTGGTGGTAATAGCAACATTGATTCATATACACTGGTTCTTGTATTGACTCCCCTCACTTACATTTTAAGTTGTATGATCAGCAATTAGTCTTCACAGTATCAGAAGATAAACATATTTTGGAGGAAAAGGGTGGAAAATTACACAAATAACGGTCTGCGCGTTTTTGTCAACATTTTTATTAAACCTTCCATTACTTTCTTTTACAAGTGGGTGGTTTTGGGCTGATTTCATTCTTTCTTTTTAGGGTAGATGCAGTAACTTTTTTTTTTTTTAATACAAAATTCCAGGTAACCAGCTTAATATAGAACGATCATATTGAGGAGTTTAGTTAGCGCACAGATTCGATTTTTTTCTTCTGGAGCTTCACCTATAAGATTTGTGGAATGGTATATCTACTTTGTGACATTTACTCTTCCACTTTCGAAATCTATATTTGCATCTATTTTATCAGGCAAATGGAGGCTTGCGCGGGAACTGTTAAGATTTTTTTTCTAGGCAATTTGATTCCACAGACATGACTATTACTGTTTGGTAGAATTCCCATTTACGTGACCTGTTGTGCTTGGCTTATAGAATGGAAGCAGATACATAAACTTAGGTTCTTAACTTTTTCTTATTTTTCTTTTGCAGGTTTTCTTTCTCAGTTGGTGTCTGACAAGCCTTTGGAAGAGTGTATCCGAGCTGGTCATTATTCTGCTAACGTGGTTATTCGACGAGCTGGCTGCACTTTACCAGAGAAACCGGACTTCAAATAATGAAAGGGATGAAGCCTGTGAGAAGATCTGCAGGTCCCTACTTCCTTCTTTCTCCTTCCCTCTACACAGGCATATTAAAGAAACTGTACTCTGTACTCCTGTCAGCTTCTGAAATATAGTATATACCCTCCCCACATGTCTCTCTACCTCTTTTCCAAAAAATGTGTCCAGTATTTGGGGAGGGCAATGTTTAAATAGGTGTACTCAAGGTAACCTAACTTGTGTTAGTTGGGTTATCAGTCGGTGAATTGTAATTATCTGATCATCCACACTGTTAGGACAATTTTTGCTGCTCAAGTCTTAAATTTATAGGAAATATCAGGTACAACCTCTGGATTTCATAGTATTTTTGGTGATATTTAACTCCTACAATATTTATCCCCTAGTGGAAGAGAGAATCTTTAGCAGAAAATCAATTCTTCTGCAAATATTGGTGGAAATAGGTCTTCACAGTATGTTCATAATCTGTAAGTTGCGAATAAGCTATTTGAGTATCGGTTCTGACCCAGATTCTTTAGACCTCTTTTAAGGGATCAGCAGGGCTTACAGTTGTCTTTTAGAATGGAAATGTGTGGAGATGGCATCCTCTCCCCACAATTTTCCCAGTTTGTCTTTAGAAGAAATGTCTTTTATTCTTTTGCTGGGCAACCGTTAAGATAGTTTGCAGCAGAGCCAGTAATTACATTCTCCAGACCGCAATAACTTGCCTTCTGTCAGTGCCCTTATTGGCTGTTGTGTAAGCTATGTTTTGTTGTTGCTTTATTTAATAATGGTGCAGATTTTTCTAAATCAGGTACAGAATTCACATGCAAAACTGTCAGGAAATGCCAAATTGTGTATTTAAACCAAACCTGGCCGCCAATGTAGGAGGTGGGCATCAAAGTACATTTGTTGCTGTTTTTTCCTCTTGAAGTGATTTTTGGTAAGAATGCACAGTTGAGTAACAATATTGAGGAAAGCTGTTTCCCCCTCCCATTTTACTAGTTTGTGACATTAGCACAGTCTGTTTGTTGTACATGCATACAATGTATAATTTGATACTGAAAAATAAAACAAAATTACTTCTACGCTTTTGAGTCTCTTCTTTTGTTAATATACGGTATGATGATTGATCTCAGATGACAGGAGTTTAAAAAAACTCTTCAAATGCATAAATAGTATGATCTACTTTGAAGATAAGGCACACAGCTGTATTGTCTCTTTCTTAATTTAATGAGCCAAATATGAACTTGAGGAGTCTCTCCAGCCAACCATTAAAAAGTTTCTTCTAATTCTGGATAAACATTCTATGTTACTTGGGTTATGATGTCTTTTGACAACTTGAATTGTATGAAGACAACATTAGATTGACTTTGATTTCTTTTTTTCTTGCTGTACCCCATTTGCAGAGATCAGAGGGATTTTCACAAAATGGCAAGTTACATTCGATCTGGTCTTTCTGATGTAGAGTGGATTGGTGGGTGGTCAGACATACTGGTACGAGCAGACTATCTGTAGACAAGACAGGCTACAGAGCAGGACACGGACCTATGAATTTGTCTTTGGAGTGTTTATGGGTGAAGGAAGACCAAGTAGAAGAGTGAGACACTTATGGTGTGCTGGTCTTTTAATATGAGGCCATTCTATAGACGTGAAATGGCCAACTGACCCAGTAACTCATCTAGTTTTGTATGTGTAGCTTAAGAGAAAGAGGGCCATGGGTAGGAAACGTATGAATCGAACATTTAAGTCCTACACCTTGAGGCTCTGCACAGTGGTGTGCTTCATAAATGTGCATTGAGTTTTGCTGGCGTTGGGACTCCAAAGCTGGTGGGATGCTAATAAAATAAATGGAAGTGCATAAAATAAAGTAGGGAGGAGAAGCCCGGCCACACGACCTGTCGGGCGCATGACCATACAGAAAATGTCCTGTGGTCATAGATCCTCCATTTCTCTGTGTATACCATCTTCTCCCGGCAGCTGATTAGGTAATTTAAAGCTGAGGTTTAATCTGCTTATATTATACCTTTCCTGCCTCATCAACATGTTAATGACTATTTGTATGGTTTGGCAGTTAGATTTCAGTTTTGTATTATAAAATGTTTTTTTTCTATCAACAAAACCTTGTCTGAATGGGTGGCCCCTGAAAAGTCCCAGTTTCCCAACGTTCTACCTAACAACATTTTTTCTCCCTTATGGTCACGTGGTGCGCTGTAGGACTAAACTTGTTTACTTTGCGGGGAAGTAAAACCCACATCTTTGATAACAAGTTTACACCTTTAGCATTGACCAGTCAATATCACATAATCGCTGCTGAGTACCAGATGAAAGTGCTGACACATGAATCAAAGCTTTATTATATCTTCGGTCATCTAACCTAACCAATATCAAACCAGGGAACCTCTGACCTAGAATTGTTAGATGTGAATACCTAGACATCATCTCTGCACAGTTTCTGCTTTCATTTACACAGTAATGCAGTCACGAATGTAGACTTCACTAAGGCCAGGTCTAGAACTATATTAGTCACAGTCTGTTTAATGGCTGCTGCGGACCATCTTTGAGCTTGTGTGGATGGCTTTAGTATGACATCATTTTTAATGCTCTTCTGAGATTCAGAATAAATTGACATGTGCAGATGATCCACTTCAAGCGTGTTTTTCTGTCCCTTTAGACTTGCTTAGGAATACAAAACCCTTTTTGAAGCAATCAAAAACTGTAAGGGTCTGCTCGGATTGCTTTGGTGTTGCCGATTGCAGTACCCTGGTGGTAACATGGCGAGGGGTTGTTAGACCACTAGAAAGGCTGCTGCGTTCACACATTAAGATATTTAAAACTTTCTCTGTCACAACACCTTTTTTTGTTGTCAGGGAACAACTTCAGCTTGTCCTTTTTAATTTCCAAACTACCCCAAGTGCAACCAACCGAGTGAGTGTTCCTGTTCATTCATACATTGTGGAGATAGTATGAGTTACTACGTACCACTTAGGAATAAATGGGAAGTCATCTACATCACTTCCTATTCATTCATGATTGTGTGCATAGTAACTCATACTATGTCTAGGTTTTGTTTTTTTTTAACAAACATTCAGTGATGGCTGATTGTTTGTATAGCGCTCTCCATCCTGGATCGGCTCTCGAGGCTGAGCGGGCGATGCGGGGAATAGAGGTCGGGCTCATTTGACAGCTGATTCCTCCCAATCACCGCTGGCTTGGTCTCCAGTGACAGTTGTCTCCACCCACACACGGCTCTCCTGATCTGTTACAGGAGGCTGAGTGGGGCAGTGCTGGAAAAGAGCCCCTCCTGTCACATCGCTCTCTGCCCCGCCCCGCTCCTGACATGTTCTCTTCTCCCTGCTGTCAGAGGGGACACAGAGCAGCGCCAAGCGGGGTGGTGCGAAACTATGGATGCACCACAATTTCTAGTAAAGAGTAAGTTCACTTTCACAAGTACTGTAGGAAAATGGATTTACCCGCTCAAATCCCACCCCCCGTGAACCGTCCTTCCCCTCCACTGGTATAGGTGTACTATACTTACCCCATACCGCCGTCCTGTGCAGCCCAGTGCTACGGATTTTGAATTGCGCTCACAAATTGGGAGCACTCCTTGAGCAGTCCTTTTTCGCATAGTTAAATACGGTTTTGGTTAAAACGACTTTTTTAACAAGTAGATTGGTCCCCCGCTTTAGGCCTTGAACAAGTAGTTTGTTTCTAAACTTTTCCATACCCCTGAGCCACTCTCATAGAGTAAGTATGCAGCTAAGGACTTCTGGCTCTTCCTTTCTACTTGTTTTTGGCCTGTGCTGAAGCCAGTCGGCATGAATTTTAATTCGGAGGTCCACAATGGCAGCGCCCATATTTCTCTCAGCTAAGTAGCCCTGCTGTCATCAGAGTCTTCTGAGAGTTGTACTTAAAGAAATGACAGTATGGTGGTCCCCGCAGTACTCCCCAAATCTTTTTGGAGTTCTTCGATATCCATTTGGCCTCTACAACATGCAGGTTAACATTCCTTTTACATCAGCGGTAGGCAAACTCAAGCACTCCAGCTACAGAACTACAAATCCAATCATGCCTGCGCTGTCAGTCTTGCAATGCCTAATGGGATTTGTAGTTTGCCTACCCCTTCTTTACATTATGCACCGAACAAGCGGCTCATTCCCTGCCCACTCTGACTCCCCCTGACAGCTGCCTGGCCTACTACCCAATCAGTTTGGTTCCTGATCATTACAACACTGTCAGCTGACATGATCACATGGCTTTGTTTTTGTAAACAGCAGTCACAGCTGCTGGAATATTTCTTTCTGTATGCAGTCTCTGAGCACATAGAAATTCTTAATGGTTGTGTCTGATCCCCCTGCCATGTGGTTCCATCCACTCAGTAATTCTCAGATGTGGAGATTCTGCAACAGAGCAGAGCCTGGAAGAAAAAAAGGTCAGTATTAGTGCTGATGGGAAAATGCGGCTTGTTTTAAGACACTTGACATGTTTTTAAGTCCTGAGTTTAGTGTCACTAAGTACTCGTACACATGGGCAGGGGTGTATCTACTTCAAAGCAAACTAGGCATTTGCCTAGGGTGGCACTTTCCAGGGGGGTGCCAAAAAATGCTGCCCCCCAAAGCAGTTAGGTTTGAGAAAAAAAAAATACATTATATTATAAATTATTCATAACTTACTGCCAGTACTCCTGGACCTGCTGCTTCTTTTGACTATGGTACCAACATGTCCACCTATGCCGCTTACTCCAACATATATGCCAGCTGCAGCTCCTTCCTCTTCCTGGTCAACATGCTGTGCAATGTATTGGTGTGTGTGACTTTCATCCGGATGCACTGGCAGTTCATGCGCCGGACCTCCCTGGGAATTGGGCACCCAAATCTCTGACTTCAGGCAGAGGAGGTGCTTCTGCAGGACCCCAGGGCTGAGATTCAGATGGTTATCGTGCTCATCGGCACCTCCGTGGTGGTGAGTCCGGGGATTTGCTGCTCGGGTTTAGTCTTGCACCAAACCAAAATACACCACTGCACATGGGCACAAATACATAGGCAAATGGTGCAAAATACTGCTCCATTTGTGGCACCTGGGAAGTATCCCCGGCTGCTGTTTTCCTTTCCATAGGCTTGTATGGGCAGAATAAATCCTATGGACAGAAATATGCAGCGGCTGGGCTTCCAGATGCTGGTCATTTTGCGCTGTGTGCATGAGTTCTTGTGTGACCAGGTAGCCTTGGGAGAAAGTGACAGGTGAACAGCAGTAATCCTATAGTGGTAGAAAGTGGCATATTGCTACGTATAGTACCTTCTGGAAATACTAGATACCTAGATGTCATACCCATCCAATGGCTTCAATACTCAGTTACTGTCCCAGTGCACAGTATGTGGATGAGGGGTTTTGCTTTCTGTGTACGGTATGGAAGCCAGGCACTTGGTAAGTTCTGCTTTGTCCCTATAGTATGGAAGCAAGGCACTTGGTACGTTTTGATTTGTTCCTATAGTATGGAAGCCAGGCACTTGGTAAGTTTTAAATGTGTCTGTATACTATGGAAGCCAGGCACTTGGTATTATGAGGTCAGCAATGTCCAGCCACCGAGGCTCCAGCCGGTGTGACTGCAACTCACCGGCCGCTACTGTAAAGCGGCTCCCACCAGTGATCAGCCCTGCCCATTGCAGTCGATCTCCAATCACCGGCTTCTAATCCCACAACAGTAGGCATGGTGGACATTCTCGTGTGGGCGGGCTTTGATAAATCATACACGCCCACAACTGGCGGAGACTGAGTGGGACACCTAAGTGGCGGACGAGGCGGCCAGTGAGCGCAGAGCAGGGGCGGGGCCGGCGGAGTAGGTGAGCCGTAATGAGACTCGGTGCAATCAGTGTCATGTCGGACCCGAACGCGGCGCAACAAAATGGCGGCGGGATTTTAACGGGCTGCTCGGAACCGGGTGACGTCAGGTGAGAAGCTGTGCGCGGCGCTGCGGCCGCTGGAAGGAGGTGAAGCGGCTGTATGGCGGAGGTGAGTGACGTCATCGGGGAACGCATGACGTCACCTGTAAACACCTGACGTCACTCCATCACGAATTTCCGTGTGTGTGTGTGAGCGCTGTGCGCGTTCCCGAGAGGTGTTTTTGGAAGCCGAGCCGGCGACTGGTGTGAGTATGTGCAACGTGTGCGGACGGAGGGCATTGTGCTTGTCATGGGGTTTGTGGTGTATGTACAGAGAGTTGAGCTGCGGGCTGTATGAGGCGATGTGCGTGCGGTGCTCGGTGTCGTGTTCTGTGCAGTGTGTGTGTGTGTATATGTAATGTTCGCTATTGTATGTGCAGTGTTCGGTACTGTGTCTCAGTATCCTGGTGTCCCCTCACTCACTGAGCACAGCAGCTCCATCACTACACCTGTTCGTGACAGGAGCCACTTGTTGTGGTGTTTCCTCACCTCAGGGGGGCGCCACATGTATCTGGAATACATTTTAGGAGGTCTGACTCTTTCCTAATGCTGCCTTAGGAAGTGTACAGATAACATCCCGGGATTCTACTGGGTGCCCGCCATACAGCGAGCCCTTCATGGGCGGACTTACCATTTATGCAGGTTGTGCAACTGCCCTCTGGGACATAGAGGCCCAAAAAGTGGAACCCACTGTAACCCAAGCTCGCTACTGCATGCCCTTCCCTGCTGGCCTGCCGTGCCCCCCGTTCCCTTCCCTGCTGGCCTGCCGTGCCCCCCTTCCCTGCTGGC